GCAGAGTGTTTGGAGCTTTGTAAATGTAAACAGACTCATAATAAAGATTTAGTCAAACATGTGAATGAAACAAACACAACTCCAGGTCTGTTTTTGAGAAGGGAACAGTGTTAGAACACGACTTAAAGCTCACGAGAGTCAGTTTTGTGTGATATTTGAGTGTTTTAGTGTTAATTTGTGTTACCATGAAGAGCGCTCTGTAAAACCAATGTATTATTATTATTATTATTATTTTAGTGCTGTTTGAAAGTGGACAGGACAGTGATGGACTTTCTCTTATGGACAGTTGAACATTATTCCAGTGTTGTGTGTCGTGTTTGTTCTCTGGGCCCAAACCCCTCGGCAGGTACACTGCAAAAAAAGCAGGGCCAAAATGTGAGATATAAACACTTAAATCTATCAGAAAATGACTTTGAAGTAGTGAAATGAGGTGTCCGTGCAGCAAGATCATTTTACTCGACAGGTTCTCTTCAAATAAACGAACTCTAGACAAAAAATGAAGCATCTCAGAGCAAATAAATCGATCATAAACCTGAAAACAACATGAAGAACCTGATTATAAGTGTTAAAATCTTGGCCAGATCAGAGAAATGTGCAGCGTGCCAGGGCCTCGGCAGGTGCCAGGGCCTCGGCAGGTGCCAGGGCCTCGGCAGGTGCCAGGGCCTCGGCAGGTGCCAGGGCCTCTGCAGGTGCCAGGGCCTCTGCAGGTGCCAGGGCCTCGGCAGGTGCCAGGGCCTCGGCAGGTGCCAGGGCCTCGGCAGGTGCCAGGGCCTCGGCAGGTGCCAGGCTCTTTGACAGGTGCACATTTTGTGAATGAGCGTCCAGAGCGAGTTTCTCTGGACCAGACTCAGACTCAGGAGGAGGAGGTGTTGTTTTGCTGCCCCCTGCTGTCAGGTCGAGCTCTGCCCCACATCCATGTTTGTTTGGAAAATCTCCACAGAGTCCTCACGAGGTCCACAGCCAGAGTGTGTGTGTGTGTGTGGGGGGCTCCAGAGTGTGTGTGGGGCGGCAAAGTGTGTGTGGGGCTCCAGAGAGTGTGTGTGTGTGTGTGTGTGGGGGGCTCCAGAGTGTGTGTGTGGGGCTCCAGAGTGTGTGTGTGTGTGGGTCCAGAGTGTGTGTGGGTCCAGAGTGTGTGGGGGGCTCCAGTGTGTGTGTGTGTGTGTGTGTGTGTGTGGGCTCCAGAGTGTGTGTGTGTGGGCTCCAGAGTGTGTGAGTGTGTCTCCAGAGTGTGTGTGTGTGGGTCCAGAGTGTGTGTGTGTGTGTGTGTGTGTGGGGGGGGGGGGCTCCAGAGTGTGTGTGTATGTGTGTATGTGTGTATGTGTGTGTGTGTGTGTGTGTGTGTGTGTGTGTGTGTATGTGTGTGTGTGTGTGTGTGTGTGTGTGTGTGTGTGTGGGTCCAGAGTGTGTGTGTGTGTGTGTGTGTGTGTGTGTGTATGTGTGTGTGTGTGTGTGTGTTTGGCTTTAACCAGGAGAAAAATCCCAGACCAACATTTTTCACAGTTACAACAAAGAAAAAAAGTGAAATGACCCGAATCACAGACGAGGAAAAACCGTCTCGTGTCTTTGTCACGTTTCGGAGCCGAGCAGATCCTGAGCTGAGACTTTCTCCTGAGGTTCACACAAAAGTCTCTCTTCACACTCACGTCACCAACCAGGAAACATGTGAAGATGTGAGGTGTGTAAGTCTGACAAACTGCAGGAAAAATGAGAAAATGTCCCAGTTTTCTTCATCTCCGTGTCACTGTCGTTTTCCGTTATGTTCGGCTCATCAACATTTCCAACCAAACCTCAGTTTTCATCATTTGAATAATAAAAATTGTATCATAATTTATCATGGATTCATCTCAATTATTATATATTTTTTATTATTCAAATGATGAAAACTGAGGTTTGGTTGGAAATGTTGATGAGCCGAACATAACGGAAAACGACAGTGACACGGAGATGAAGAAAACTGGGGCAAACAAGTGCTTTTCTTTGAAGAACTTGTGGTGTTTCTCTAGTTTTGAGCCTGTGTCTGTGAGTGACGTCGACGCTGTGTTTAGACTCACGTCCCACACGGAAACTTCTGGCAGGTTGTGAAAACTCTGCTAAAGTTTGATGACGTCGTTTACTTCAGTGGGTTTGATCACAGTTGGTCCAGTGTCAGGAGCTGCACCGGACGTTTCACTGCATGTTTCCAAACGTTTTCCTGGTTTGCATGAATAGACACTGTCCTCTAACCCAAGAGTGTCAAACATACGGCCCGGGGGCCAGATCCGGCCCTGCAAGACCTTTAATCTGGCCCTCGGCTGATTTTCTACTAAAATATTTTAATGATATTTTCTATTAAAATGGTGTTAATTTTCTGTGGTGTTTATCACAGCAGCGTCTCCAGCGTCTCTGTACGTGGCCCCTCCCACCAGAGCAGCACAAATGAAGACTTGTCTCTTTCCAAACGCTCTTAAAGGACGATCGTTTTGACTGTTGACCGTGACACCCTCATCAGAAAAATGTCCAACATGAGAAAAGTGGAGCCGAGTGCAGGATTTTACAACAAAAATGGACTTATTCCTGTTTACAGACAAGTTCATGTTCAAACTTTGGGTTGAAATTGTATTTTTCTTAAAGTTTCAGGTTGTTCATAATATTATCATATTTAGTAAAAGAAAGAGTTCATCAGTTAAAAAAGATTTCTGTAATAGATTTGTGTTTCTCTGCACAAATATTTGAACTTATTGTTATTTTTGGGGTTTATATGACATGAGTTTTCTGATCCGGACACTTTGGATCAAAGTCGGTTGGACTCGACCCCCGGAACAACATGAGTTTAACACCTCTGGACTAAATTAAAGAAACGTGTGTGTCAATGAAAACTAAAGCTCTAGTCACATGGGATTAGTTTGACCTGTGGACCTTTGGTGATGTGTAATAACTGTGGACGACGTCTGAGATCTTAATCCAGTGTGAATGCTCCATGTCTGTCATTTATAAAATAAGAATTCTGACGCAAATGACCGATTATATTTCTCCAAACACAAACGTCTGGACATAAAACTCGTCCCGTGTTGAATCTGCATCTCAGTGTTTGTCTCTTTCTTTTCTTTCCTCATTCTTTTCTCTTTCGATCTCTGGCAAGTTTATTTGTACAGCACAATTTGTTCACAAAGTCATTCAAAGTGTCGACTGAGGTGTTCTGAGTCCTGTCGGCCTCTTTATCGATATCGAACATAAAGTCAGAAAACAGAGTCAGAGTTCGTGAGGTGTAAAATAGATTTATTGCCGAACAGAGACAGAGATGATGAGACAGAGAAGGTCCAACACACAGATGCACACAGAGACCTGGGGCTTCTGTGGGGCGCAGGGGGCGGGGCTTCTGCCAGGTGTGGGTGGAGCTTCGGAGAGGCGGTCGCAGGGGGCGGGGCAGGTGTGAGGTGTGGGTGGAGCTTATGTAAGGTGATCATCAGGGGCGGGGCTTGTCTGGGCTGCGTCATAGGTAGAGGTGTGCAAAAATATTGAAATATCGATGTGTTTTATAATGTGTTTAATGTCATGATACAGTATCGATATCGTGTGCTGCTGTATCGATATATATCGCCAAGCGTATTTTTTGTATATTTTACTAAATTATTTGTTAACACTTTATAATAACTGCACCTTATTTAGCCTTAATAAAGCATGAACAAAGACTTAACTAATAATGATTCACACTTAGTAACTACTTAATTACTACCTGAATTAGCACTTAACTTGCACTTAATTCACCTGTGCTGTAAATAGTAACTCAATACTTCTTAATTACTCATGAACTAACCATTTGTGTGTTTACAAATGTATATTTAAGTACAAATTTGAGCATTTATTAATCATTAATAAGCCATGACAGAATGATTTACTAATAACACAATGTAATGATCATTCAGCAGCTGTTCTCTGTTATTTAAGTCTTTCTGAGAGTTTTTCTAAAGTGAAGAATAATTATGTTTATTAACATTTGTTAAGGTTGATCAAATTCCAGAGAAACAATAATGCATTATTAGTAAATCATTCTCTCATGACTTATTAATCATAAATAAATGCTCAAATTTGTACTTAAATATACATTTACAAATGCACACAAATGGTTAGTTCATGAGTAATTAAGTAAGAAATACTTATGAGTAACTATTTACAGCACAGGTGAATTAAGTACAAGTTAAGTGCTAATTCAGGTAGTAATTAAGTAGTTACTAAGCGTGAATCATTATTAATTAAGTCTTTGTTCATGCTTTATTAAGGCTAAATAAGGTGTAGTTATTATAAAGTGTTACCAATTATTTTGTAATTGCTCCGGTTTTGTAGCCTGATTCATGAGTCGGTTTCACTTGGTGGAAACCGTGTGACCTGCAGCATTAGGATTCGTTCACTCGACAGTAGGCGGGGACTTTTTTTTATCTAACCAATCGCTGCTGTTTGGTCGTGACGTATGTAATGCGCCGGAATGCTCAGTGGTGTCCAAGTAATTGCCGGCACAACAGCTCTTCACTGATTGGCCGGTGCGTGGTCTACAACATCCGGGTTTTTTGCAACTGTCTAGTGTGTTCCGATTCCTGACCTAGTCGCTGGAGAGAAATGAAATCGAGTGGAGGCACTAGGTGGCGCCACCCTGGATAGCAGTTTTGTTGTTTTTTTAGTGTAAGGAAACTCGTTTATGCGACACATTTGACATGTTCACTTGTGTTTCGTATGAACTTTCGTATGAAGATTTTTAGTTTCACGGCCGTGATTTAGCTTTTTTATTATTGAACCATTTTGAAATATATCGTATTGAATCGTATTGAATCGTGAGCTCACTGTATTGAGACATGCATCGTATCACGGCCGATGTACTGAGGTATGTATGTATGTATGTACCCAGCCCTAGTCTTGGGGGGGCGGGGCTTGTATGAAGTGGTCATAGAGGGGTGGAGCTGTTTCGGTGGGGGGGGGGTGGATCTTCAGAAGGGCACTGGTCATAGGGGGCGGAGCTTGTCTGGGGTGCGTCATAAGGAGGCGGGGCTGTGTGCGACCTTGTGCCACGCCCGCTCCAGCTCGTCCATCACGTGCAGCGGGCCCTCGTACATGTTGGTCTTTATGGCCCTCAGTTTGGCCTGGTACTCCTGAGGAAGACCGTTCTGCGCCGCGCCCATCACCATCACCTGAGGAAGAGGAACAGCGGGAAAGAAACAACGTCAGAGAAACAACGTCAGAGAAACAACGTCAGAGAAACAACGTCAGAGAAACAACGTCGGAGAAACAACGTCAGAGAAACAACGTCGGAGAAACAACGTCGGAGAAACAACGTTAGAGAAACAACGTCAGAGAAACAACGTCAGAGAAACAACGTTAGAGAAACAACGTCGGAGAAACAACGTCAGAGAAACAACGTCAGAGAAACAATGTCAAAGAAACAACGTCAGAGAAACAACGTCAGAGAAACAATGTCAGAGAAACAATGTCAAAGAAACAACAATTGGAGAAACAGCGTTGGAGAAACAATGTCAAGAGAAACACAAGTCAGAGAAACAACGTCAAAGAAACAACATTGGAGAAAAACAACGTTGGAGAAACAACGTCAGAGAAACAATGTCAGAGAAACAACATCAGAGAAACAACGGAAACAAGAGAAACAACGAACAGAGAAACAACGAGAAACAACAGAGAAACAACGTCAGAGAAACAACGTCAGAGAAACAATGTCACAGAGGAGAAACAACGTCAGAGAAACAACGTCAGAGAAACAACGTCAGAGAAACAACGTCAGAGAAACAACGTCAGAGAAACAACGTCAGAGAAACAACGTCGGAGAAACAACGTCAGAAGAAACAACAACGAGAAACAACAGAGAAACAATGTCAGAGAAACAACGGACAGAGAAACAACGTCAGAGAAACAACAAGTCAAGAGAAACAACGTCAAGAGAAAACAACGTCAGAGAAACAACAACGTCAGAGAAACAACGAGAAACAACGTCAGAGAAACAACGTCAGAGAAACAACGAGAAAAACAGAGAAACAACAGAGAAACAATGTCAGAGAAACAACGTCAGAAACAAGAGAAACAACGTCAGAGAAACAACGTCAGAGAAACAACGTCAGAGAAACAACGTCAGAGAAACAATGTGAAAGAAACAACGTCAGAGAAACAACGTCAGAGAAACAACGTCAGAGAAACAACGTCAAGAGAAACAACGAGAAACAGAGAAACAATGTCAAGAGAAACAACGTCAGAGAAACAACGAGAAAACAGAGAAACAACGTCAAGTCAGAGAAACAACGTCAGAGAAACAACGTCAGAGAAACAATGTCAGAGAAACAACGTCAGAGAAACAACGTCAGAGAAACAATGTCAAAGAAACAACGTCAGAGAAACAATGGTCAGAGAAACAATGTCAGAGAAACAACGAGAAACAGAGAAACAACGTCAAAGAAACAACAGAGAAACAGAGAAACAACGTTAGAGAAACAACGTCAGAGAAACAACGTTGGAGAAACAAGAGAAACAATGTCAAGTCAAAGAAACAACGTCAGAGAAACAACGTCAGAGAAACAACGTCAGAGAAACAATGTCAAAGAAACAACAGAGAAACAGAGAAACAACGTCAGAGAAACAACAGAGAAACAACGTCAGAGAAACAACGTCAAAGAGAAACAACGTCAGAGAAACAACGTCAGAGAAACAATGTCAAGAGAAACAACGTCAGAGAAACAACGTCAGAGAAACAATGTCAGAGAAACAACGTCAGAGAAACAACGTCAGAGAAACAACGTCAGAGAAACAACGTCAGAGAAACAACGTCAGAGAAACAACGTCAGAGAAACAATGTCAGAGAAACAACGTCAGAGAAACAACGTCAGAGAAACAATGTCAGAGAAACAACGTCAGAGAAACAACGTCAGAGAAACAACGTCAGAGAAGAAACAAGAAACAACGTCAGAGAAACAACGTCAGAGAAACAACGTCAGAGAAACAACGTCAGAGAAACAACGTCAGAGAAACAATGTCAAAGAAACAACGTCAGAGAAACAACGTCGGAGAAACAACGTCGGAGAAACAACGTCGGAGAAACAACGTCAAAGAAACGTCAGAGAAACAATGTTAGAGAAACAACGTCAGAGAAACAACGGACAGAGAGTAGAATATCATTAGTTGTTATTGTTACAGATACAACAAAATTAAGAGCAGTCCTTGTTCAGTGCAAAGGCAGAAAATAATAAAATAAAATGAAAAAAACGAGTCTCTATGGATTAAAAAAATGAAGAGATTAATTAATTATGATCTGTAATTAATTAATCTAATTAATCTCTTTTTTAATCTCACCTAAAAATTGCTGAGAAAAGCTTCAACTTGAGGTATTTTCATTTGAATTCATTATTACATTATTTTCATACTATCATGTCAGTATCATCATCATTACTGTTACTAATCTGCATAAATAAACTCAACTTTACAACATATAAACATAAACACTCTAGAGCCACATCAGCTGTTTGACATTAGAATGTGTTTAATGCAGATTTGCGCAAATCTCACAGAAACAAAACTTAAAACCACTTGACTCATTTGCATAAATTAAACGGAGAAAATAAAAAATAAAACGCTCTTGTGTCATTGATGTGGTTCAGCTTCTACTAAAGGACACGACTCAGTGGAATATAGATGTTCTTTCTGTGACAGAGGGATGTTCTGCTGATGGTGAGTCTGTTCTGTGTTTGTGTCGTGATGTTTTCAGATCAGACATGTGCAGGTTTATCACAGATGCGGCGACAACGGGAATGAAAATTACAATTGTTTGTTGGAGCGAGTGGAGCAGGACTGCACAGTGCGACTGTGTCCCAACAACACACAAAAACAGATTTTATAATAAGGCGACTCACACAGAAACAGTAAAGTTAGAGATTAAAAATAAGATTAACGCGATTAAAAAACATAACGCACTAAATATGACTGTAATTAATTAACACGATAATTTGACAGCCCTAATTTTGAACGGTGCAGACTGACTTCCTGCTTGGGTTGCCTCTCTGTCGTTTTTACTTGTACTTGTCCATGGAAACTGCTAAATGTTGTTGTTTTTGATGTATTTACTTTTTAATTTTGCTTATTTATTATTGTTTTTATCTCTCTCTGGATCACTGGGCCTCGGGGAGCACATTTCGTTCTGTCATGTGTTTCTCTCTCATGCTTCAATTATTTAAAAAAGTGCATAAAACCTCACACACACACACACACACACACACACACACATTCATAAATCTAAAATGTAAAAACTCTGCTTTAGTCGCATCGTTTAATGAAATCATGTCTGTTGGATAAAAACGGTTTTGTCGTCTGTTTGTCCTGGTTTTATGGAGCCGTTTCTCCTCCTGATGTTCGGTTCAAACAGTTTGTGATGAGTCTTTCAGATGGAGTTGGTCTTTTGGAGGCGGTGGGTTCTGTGCGGATCGTCCGGAGGGAAAAGAGCAGTCGGTGATTTTCTGTGCTGCGTTTATGAGCCTCTGGAGCGTTTTCCCCGTGTGTCGAAGAGCAGCTCCAGAGCCACACACGGAGCCAGAACGTCTTTTGAGGGATGTTGTTCTTCCAGGGAACTCGCAGGAAGTGAAGTCTCTGCTGGGCCTGTTTCGCTCGCTCAGTGGTGTTGACGCCTCAGGTCAGGTCCCTCACGTTTAACTCCCTGAAAGAGGAAGTCGAGAGTCTCTCCACACAGACGCACTCGATCACCAGCGGCTGGAGAGCTACGATCTTTTTCCTCCAGAAACACCGGCGAGAGAAACACCAGTGAAACAGGACATGTTCACCAGAGCGACAGAAATACAGGAGCGAAACATTAAACACATGAAAGGTCCTGTATCCAGAGGCAGTGCAACTATTAGGCAGAAGTGGGCGGCTGCTTAGGGCCCCTGAAACTGAAGGGGCCCCCAACAAATGTCCCTCGGTGCCACTAAAGACCGAGGCCTCAGAGCAATTTGATTTTCTCTCAATTTGACATTAAATGAGAGGAGTTTTAGTTTTAAACAAGAAAAATCATTTGTCATTCGTTCAGTCGTTTTTCAATATAAAACCAAAAATAATAACGAAAAAACAAGAGTTTTCTTCATTATTTGTCTCCAAAATCAAAATGAAAAAAAACTGATTTGTTAGTTTTCAGTTTTTGATTTTGTGTTTAAATGAAAAATGGAAAAAACGGTTTCCCGTTGACGTGACTCTCGTGACTGCGATGCCGGACTTTTGCACCGTATACGGACTGAACCAGGACTGATCCAGGTTTGGGACCAGATTGGGACCAGATTGGGACCAGAGCGGGACCAGAGCAGACTCTGAGCTTTGACTCTGAGCTTTGACTCTGAGCTTTGACTCTGAGCTTTGACTCTGAGCTTTGACTCCGAACTTTGACTCTGAGCCTCCGCAGGGTCCGAGCCTCAGCTTCGTGTTCTGGTCCTTGCCGTGGACTCTGATGAACCAGACTGGAGACCTGTGGCCTCCAGTCTGGTTCCCGTCTAGTCCTGGCCTGGTCTCAGTCTCAGTCCTGCTGTGGTCCCGCTCTGGTCCCGCTCTGGTCCCGGTCCTGGTTCAGTCCGTATGCAGTGCAAAAGTCCGGCATCGCAGTCACTGAAGTCACGTCAACGGGAAACGGCCGTTATCCATTTTTTCCATTTTTCATTTAAACACAAAATCGAAAAAAGACAAAAACCAATCATTATCAGTTTTTTTCATTTTGGTTTGGGAGACAAATAATGAAGAAAATAGTTGTTTTTCATTTTCTTATTTTTGGTTTTATATTGAAAAACAAATGAACGAACAACACACAGATTAAGAAAACATCATCAAAATATCATCTGATTTTCAAATATATTTAACTGTCAAAGTGTTTCCCCCTTTTCACGTTAGAATGAACTCGTCAGCTCGACCCTGATTTGAACAGAATCATAATCATAATAATAATCATATGTAATGGATGTAAACAAAAATGTAATTGTACCAGAAAATAAAAGTACTTTCAGTTTTGGTTTTCTAGTCGGCGACCAAACTAATAAAACAATCCACGATAATTCAAATAAAGATGTACGTGTCTCATGAACAATGTGGAAAAACAGACAATAAATATCAAAAAATACTAAAAACAGTGAGGGCCCCAAACTCAAGTTCACCTTGGGCCCCCAAAATCCAAACTCCACCACTGCAAATATCAAACAAAACTGACTCCTGTGAGATTTAAGTCGTGTTCTAATGTTGTTTCCTCCTCAAAATTAGAGCTTTAGTTTTGTTTTGTTTCATTTACATGTTTGAGAAAATCTTTATTATTAATCTGTCTTCATCTCTAAACCTCCAAACGCTCTGTTCCACCTTGTGATGTCATTATAGGACAGTTTTAACGGTAAAATCTGTTTTTAGCCTCAGTTGTTTTACTCTAAAACACACTAGAGTAACTTTAAACTGTTTTCTTTTCTGATTTACTTTTTGTACAGCTGCGATTGTCAATACGTCTCCCATTCTTCTGGTGCGCTGAGGAGTGAAGCAGTTTCAATGAGGCTAAAACAACAGATTTAATGTTAAAGTTCAGGAATTCCACGACTGAAATGATGCGATTGATTCTAGTGAAGTGTGCGCATGACATCACAAGGTGGAAGTAGATTCTGTTTGAAAGAAGAACTCAGCCTAAATGTGTGTGTTTGTGTGTTAAACGTGTGAATGAAACAAACACAACTCCAGGTTTGTGCGACGAGGAAACGACTTTAGAACAGCAGAAAATAACGTCATATGAGCAGTAACAGGATTTTCCTTGAGTTTGGACATTTTAAAAACAGCCTCTTCCTTCCATCATTGTGAGCTCAGATATTCTCGGGGCCGGTGTGAGCGTTTCCCCTCCCGCCGCGCGCACACATCTGGAGCCGCGGGCCCCCGACCCCCAGCGCCGCCAGGCTGGTCCAGAACCTTCCTTTGCACATGTAGCTGCACACACGCCGCCTTTGTCTGCGGCTTTTGTCTCTTTGTCGCGGTCTGAACCCGCACCTCTCTGCTCCCAACAAATACACAAACCAGCCCCAGTGTGTGTGCGTCCATGTGACCGGAGCGCACACGTGTCAGACAAAACACAACAACTTTTATGGGTCAACACAGCAGGACTCTCTGAGGGCCCATGTCACACTGTTTCTGATCTGTGTGTCGTCTCATGCAGTGATTCTGAACAACAGGGCCAAACTTGGGCCTCAAACTCCACGTAGAGGGACGCAAGAAACTTTCAGTTTTGCAGCTGTGAGCTGCGAGGCTGTGGGACTGTGTTGGACCGAGGTCCGAGTCCAGACCCAAACTCCATCCCATACAGACCCGGACAGGATCAGCCCGATCTTCCCTGTTAATCCTCATGTTCCTCCAATTGTAAAAGGTTTCTATGTTCCCCATTAAAACCGTGGGCCGTCCTCATCTTAAGTTCTCACCATGAACTCATAAAACAGCAGCGTGAAGAACTTTGTACAAACTCACCACATCAGTGCAGAGCAGAAGATCTGAGTTCAGGTAACAGCAGCCACAGTGATAAAGACTCACAGCCCCTCAGGACGAGGCTGGGGTCTGGTCCTTGGTCTTGTGTCGTCCTCCAGGTGTGTTGGTCAGATGGTCCAGAGGCTTCGTCCTTCATGTTCTGGTTCCAGACGGGGACGAGTAAGACCAGTGCACAGTGGACTGGGTCTGAGCGTTTCCATCAGGGGAAAGTGAGAATGTGCTGTGGACTGCAGGTCCGGGCGGGCTGCTCTGGTCCTCTGGGCTCGAGGACTTCAGCTGGTTCTGAGGTGGTGTAAAACATCTGGACAGCAGCGTGAATCCAGTTTGGTTGGTTCTATGTTGTTCTGAGCGTCTGTCCTCCGCACACTTGGTTCTTCCCTGGGAAAGTTCTTCTCAGTCTGAGACTCCAGACATCGCTCCTCGCTCCAGCTCCTCTGAACCTGACCTGAAGCAGAGCTGCTCCCGCTGGGTCAGGACTCTGGTTTGGATCTAGTCCGACTGTGTCTAAATACAGGTCATTTTATAAGTTGAATCAGTTGAACTGGGCCTGTGCAGTTTAGACTCTAAACTTTACAGTTCTGTACTAATGGACCAAGGATCAAACAAAGCCGTCGCCTGTGATGATCCTGAGCCGATCAAGTCGGTTTATTCCAGACGCTCACAGCTCTGAACACAGATAAAACTCTGACTTTGATCAAACGAGGAGACGTCTGTATCACCATCTGAACACAGGTTGGACCTTCTGATGTCCCAGACTCTGCTCAAACTGGACCTCCTCAAATTTGAGTTGAACATCCCTGATCTACAGTGTTATATGGGCCCCGGGGCCACTGCACTGAACTAACCTCAGCATCAAAAAAAGAAGAACCCTGATCTAATGTGTGTGTCACTGTGTGTCATGTACAGTGACAGTGTGTTAGCGTGTGTGTCTGTGTGTGTGTTAGTGTGTGTGTGTTTGTGTTGTGTGTGTGTGTTAGTGTGTGTGTGTGTGTTAGTGTGTGTGTGTGTGTGTTAGTGTGTGTGTTGTGTGTGTGTGTGTGTGTGTGTGTGTGTGTGTGTGTGTTAGTGTGTGTGTGTGTGTGTGTTAGTGTGTGTGTGTGATAGTGTGTGTGTATAGTGTGTGTGATAGTGTGTGTGTGTGTGTGTGTGTGTGTGTTACCTTCAGGTACTGTGGGGAGGGGGGGGCGTTAGTGGTGTTAGTGTGTGTGTTAGTGTGTGTGTTAGTGTGTGTGTTAGTGTGTGTGTGTGTGTGTGTGTTAGTGTGTGTGTGTGTGTGTGTGTGTGTATAGTGTGTGTGTGTGTTAGTGTGTGTGTGTGTTAGTGTGTGTGTGTGTGTGTGTGTGTGTGTGTGTGTGTGTGTTAGTGTGTGTGTGTATGTGTGTGTGTGTGTGTGTGTGTGTGTTACCTTCAGGTACTGTGGGGACGGGGGGGCGTTAGTGTGTTGTGTGTTATGTGTGTGTGTTAGTGTGTGTGTGTGTGTGTGTGTGTGTGTGTGTTGTGTGTTATAGTGTGTGTGTGTGTGTGTGTGTTAGTGTGTGTGTGTGTGTTAGTGTGTGTGTGTGTGTGTGTGTGTTAGTGTGTGTGTGTGTGTGTGTGTGTGTGTGTGTGTGTGTTACCTTCAGGTACTGTGGGGACGGGGGGGCGTACACGCAGCTGTTCATGATGTAGGTTCTGCAGCTCAGGTCTTGTTCTGTGGTCTTCACATTGAGCTCCACCGGGCTGTAGGCTCCCAGGGTCACGTTCTCCTGACTGCAGGACCACAGACAGGGTCACCAGAGGAACCTGACCCTCACCTGTCCACCTGACCCTCACCTGTCCACCTGTCCACCTCTCACCTGTCCACCCTCACCTGTCCACCTCTCACCTGTCCACCTCTCACCTGTCCACCCTCACCTGTCCACCTCTCACCTGTCCACCCTCACCTGTCCCCCCTCACCTGTCCACCTGACCCTCACCTGACCCTCACCTATCCACCTGTCCACCCTCTCACCTGTCCATCTGCTCACCTGTCCACCCCCTCAGACCTCACCTGTCCACCTGTCACACCCTCACCTGTCCACCTGTCACACCCTCACATGTCCACCTGTCCACCCTCACCTGTCCACCTCTCACCTGTCCACCTCTCACCTGTCCACCCCCTCACCTGTCCACCCCCTCACCTGTCACCTCTCACCTGTCCACCCTCACCTGTCCACCTCTCACCTGTCCAGGGACTCCAGGTCGGTGACGCTGAGCCTCCAGACGACGCCCCACACCTCGTCGCCGGGGCTGTGTTCGATGGTGGCGACGCCCCCGTGCCAGCGCTCGCTCGCCCGCCCTTTGTGGTTCCCAAACACCAACCTGTAGTCCTGCAGCGGGTACAGAGGGTACAGAGGGTACAGAGGGCACAGAGGGTACAGAGGGTACAGAGGGTACAGAGGGTACAGAGGGTACAGAGGGTACAGAGGGTACAGAGGGCACAGAGGGCACAGAGGGTACAGAGGGTACAGAGGGCACAGAGGCACAGAGGGTACAGAGGGTACAGAGGGTACAGAGGGTACAGAGGGTACAGAGGGTACAGAGGGCACAGAGGGTACAGAGGGTACAGAGGGACACAGAGGGACACAGAGGGTACAGAGGTTACAGAGGGTACAGAGGGTACAGAGGGCACAGAGGGTACAAGGGGCATAGAGGGTACAGAGGGTACAGAGGGGTACAGAGGGTACAGAGGGCACAGGGGGCACAGAGGGCACAGAGGGTACAAGGGGCACAGAGGGCACAGAGGGCGGGCACAGAGGGCACAGAGGGTACAAGGGGCACAGGGGGAACAGAGGGTACAGAGGGCACAGAGGGTACAGAGGGTACAGGGGGCACAGAGGGTACAGAGGGCACAGAGGGTACAGAGGATACAAGGGGTACAGAGGGTACAGAGGGCACAGAGGGTAACAGAGGGCACAGACGATACAGAGGGTACAGGGGGCACAGAGGGTACAGAGGGCACAGAGGGTACAGAGTGTACAAGGGGTACAGAGGGTACAGAGGGCACAGAGGGTACAGAGGGCACAGCGGGCACAGAGGGTTCAAGGGGTACAGAGGGTACAAGGGGTACAGAGAGGGTACAGAGGGCACAGAGGGCACAGAGGGCACAGACGATACAGAGGGTACAGGGGGCACAGAGGGTACAGAGGGTACAAGGGGTACAGATGGTACAGAGGGTACAGAGGGTACAGAGTGTACAAGGGGTACAGAGGGTACAGAGGGCACAGAGGGTACAGAGGGCACAGGGCACAGGGGGCACAGGGGGCACAGGGGGCACAGAGGGTACAGAGGGCACAGAGGGCACAGAGGGTACAAGGGGTACAGAGGGTACAAGGGGCACAGGGGGCACAGAGGGTACAGAGGGCACAGCGGGCACAGAGGGTTCAAGGGGTACAGAGGGTACAAGGGGCACAGGGGGCACAGAGGGTACAGAGGGCACAGCGGGCACAGAGGGTTCAAGGGGTACAGAGGGTACAAGGGCACAGGGGCACAGGGGCACAGGGGGCACAGAGGGCACAGAGGGTTCAAGGGGTACAGAGGGTACAAGGGGCACAGGGGGCACAGGGGGCACAGAGGGCACAGAGGGCACAGAGGCATTTCTGATCAGTGTCAATACATTTGATCTTTCACAGGTCGAGATCACGTCACATCAGAACATTTTAAAATAAAATTTAAAATGATCTAATAGACTTTTTCACAACAGCTAGAAGAGCAAAATGTGTGTGTGTGTGTAAGTGTGTGTGTAAGTGTGTGTGTGTAAGTGTGTGTGTGTAAGTGTGTGTGTAAGTGTGTGTGTAAGTGTGTGTGTGTAAGTGTGTGTGTGTAAGTGTGTGTGTGTGTAAATGTGTGTGTAAGTGTGTGTGTAAATGTGTGTGTGTAAGTGTGTATGTGTATATATGTGTGTAAGTGTGTGTGTGTAAGTGTGTGTGTGTATGTGTGTGTAAGTGTGTGTGTGTAAGTGTGTGTGTGTAAGTGTGTATGTGTATGTAGTGTGTATGTGTATATATGTGTGTAAGTGTGTGTGTGTAAGTGTGTGTGTGTATATATGTGTGTAAGTGTGTGTGTGTAAGTGTGTGTGTGTAAGTGTGTATGTGTATATATGTGTGTATGTGTATATATGTGTGTAAGTGTGTGTGTGTAAGTGTGTGTGTGTATATATGTGTGTAAGTGTGTGTAAGTGTGTGTGTAAGTGTGTATGTGTATATATGTGTGTATGTGTATATATGTGTGTAAGTGTGTGTGTGTAAGTGTGTGTGTGTATATATGTGTGTAAGTGTGTGTCGTATTCTATCGGCTTGTCAGACTCTGATCCTGTCAGATCTCAGCAGGTCTGGATCTGGTCTGGGTCTGGTCTGGGTCTGGATCTGGTCTGGGTCTGGGTCTGGTCTGGGTCTGGGTCTGGGTCTGGTCTGGGTCTGGTCTGGATCTGGTCTGTCTGGTCTGGGTCTGGGTCTGGTCTGGGTCTGGGTCTGGTCTGGTCTGGTCTGGGTCTGGTCTGGGTCTGGGTCTGGTCTGGTCTGGGTCTGGGTCTGGGTCTGGGTCTGGGTCTGGGTCTGGGTCTGGTCTGGTCTGGGTCTGGGTCTGGTCTGGTCTGGTCTGGTCTGGGTCTGGGTCTGGTCTGGTCTGGTCTGGTCTGGTCTGGTCTGGGTCTGGGTCTGGGTCTGGTCTGGGTCTGGTCTGGTCTGGGTCTGGTCTGGGTCTGGTCTGGGTCTGGTCTGGGTCTGGTCCAGTTGTAAAAAAACAAAACTAAACTGTTGTTGTGTCCTTAGGCAAGACACTTCACCCACATTGCCTGGTATGAAAGTGTTGTGTGTGTGTGTGTGTGTGATGGTGGTGGTGGGAGGGGCCAATGGCACCGATTGGCAGAATCGCTTCCATTAGTCTGCCCCAGGGCAGCTGTGGCTACAATAGTAGTTTATCATCACCAGGTATTAGTATTAGTAGTAGTAGTAGTAGTAGTAGTAGTAGTAGTAGTAGTAGTAGTAGTAGTAGTAGTAGTAGTAGTAGTAGTAGTAGTAGTAGTTGTAGTAGTAGTAGTAGTAGTAGTAGTAGTAGTAGTAGTAGTAGTAGTAGTAGTAGTAGTAGTAGTAGTAGTAGTAGTAGTAGTAGTAGTAGTAGTCAGTAGTAGTAGTAGTAGTAGTAGTAGTAGTAGTAGTTGTAGTAGTAGTAGTAGTAGTAGTAGTAGTAGTAGTAGTAGTAGTAGTAGTAGTAGTAGTAGTAGTAGTTAGTAGTAGTAGTAGTAGTAGTAGTAGTAGTAGTAGTAGTAGTAGTAGTAGTAGTAGTAGTTGTTGTAGCAGTAGTAGTAGTCGTAGTAGTAGTTGTAGTAGTAGTAGTCGTAGTAGTAGTAGAGTAGGAGAGAGTAGGAGGTGGAGGTGGAGGAGGTGGAGGTGGTGAAACCATCGAGTCAAACTTTGTGCTCAAAGCATCATTTTCAAAAATGTTTTCGTTTATATCGACCTGTATTAATCGTCCACAGAGCGGCTCGCCTCTCCACAGATCTGATACAGACTCACTGGTCTGTGGTCATGGACATGAAACATCAGCTGTGTGTAAATGAAACACATGAAAAGTGTTTCAGCAGAAGAAACACGACTGATGCTCTGATGTTTCATCATCATCAGAGCAGGAGTCAAGTCCTAAAACTCTGTTTTTCACTTCACACAAACAACAAACCAGAGTTTTACTCGATCAAACTACATGGAGATTTTACAAAGATTCTTTTTCACACTTGAATTCGCTGTTTGTGTGTAAAAGACGGAAACATATTAAAGAAAATGTCTTGTCTCTGTTTTTAAAAATCCTCGTGAAGGTTTAAACGACGGCTGAATGTTTTAACAGTTTTATTTTCTTTATTTAGTTAGTTTCTTTTCTACAGATGTAAATGTTGTGAGAGTCTGGGGCTCGTACCTTGAGTCGGGCCACACAGTGAACGGTGGCGGACGGGTTCTTCAGCGTCAGACGCTCCTTCAGCAGGTTACTGCCGTAGGCGAAGTACAAGAAGGTGCTGGAGGTTTCCCTGGAGCTGGAGGTGGGGTCTGTGCTTCTGGTGGTGGTGGTGGTAGGTTCCATGGTTCTGGTGGTGGTGAAGGCTGTGGTTCTGGTGGTCATGGATTCCATGGTTCTGGTAGGAGGTTCCCTGGTTCTGGTGGTGGTGGGTTCTGTGGTTCTGTTGGTTTTGGGCTCCATGTCTCGGTTGGTGGTCTTCATGCCGGTGGCTCTGAGCGGTGAGTGTGTGTGTGTGTGTGTGTGTGTGTGGACAGAGGCAGCGGGCGACTCGCTCCAGTCGACTATTCACATGCAAATGACCCGAGCTCTGAACAAACAGACCGAGGGACGAGACACTTCACCTGCAGGTGGAGACACTGAGACACTGAGACACTGAGACACTGAGACACAGAGACACACAGAGAGACACAGACACACAGAGACACAGAGACACAGAGACAGAGACACAGAGACACAGAGACACAGAGACACAGAGACACAGACACAGACAGAGACACAGAGACACAGAGACACAGAGACACAGAGACACAGAGACACAGAGACACAGAGACACAGACACAGACACAGAGACACAGACACAGAGACACAGAGACACAGAGACACAGAGACACAGACACAGACACAGACACAGACACACAGAGACACACAGAGACACAGAGACACAGACACAGACACAGAGACACAGAGAGACACAGAGACACAGACACAGAGACACAGACACAGAGACACAGAGACACAGACACAGAGACACAGAGACACACAGAGACACAGAGACACAGACACACACACAGAGACACAGAGACACACAGACACAGAGACACAGACACAGAGACACAGAGACACAGAGACACAGAGACACAGAGACACAGAGACACAGAGACACAGAGACACAGAGACACAGAGACACAGAGACACAGACACAGAGACACAGACACAGACACAGAGACACAGACACAGAGACACAGACACAGACACAGACACAGAGACACAGACACAGAGACACGAGACACAGAGACACAGAGACACAGAGACACAGACACAGAGACACAGACACAGACACAGAGACACACAGACACAGAGACACAGAGACACAGAGACACAGAGACACAGACACAGACACAGAGACACAGACACACAGAGACACAGAGACACAGAGACATGGACTGGGTCAAAGTGGGGACACCTGGGACATTTCTTGTATAAACTGAGATAAATCAGTGGTTTTGTATAAATCTTTAGTTAAAGGAGACACAGACTCAGGACTGGGACTGTTGGAAAATCATCTAAAAATAATAATAATAATTAAAAAAACTAAAAAAAACTTGTCCACGATGCCCAGTGTTTTTGTCATTAAGACAAACAACTTAAACAGGACACATCTTCTCTTCATAAACAAAGTTTGTCACAAAAATGTGTCTTAATGTTTCACACTTAGACTTAATCCAGGAGAAAACTGTGCCATTTTTGACTCTTTTTGAGCTGATTTTTCACTCGTGCGTTTGTTTTTTGGGATGGACTTTTGTCTTAATTGTGTCGTGCTTCGTGTAGTAACATGGAGTAAAAAGAATCAGTTAATACCTGACGAGCAGCTCCTGATCAATAACTGAATATCAAACCTGTTTGAACCAGTCGCCTCCGTGAGGGTTTGTCTCTGTTGAAGTCGTCCGGTTTTACGGCTCCAGGTTTTAGCTCTAATTTGTTTGTGTGATTTTTGTCGACGTCTCGTGATTCCTGCTGCAGGAGCTCTGGTCTGTGATTGGTGGAGCAGGTCGACGCCCACCTCACCTGCAGCCACGCCCCCTGTTTAAGGAGACGACCTGCACCTGTTCGGAGCTGCAGGTCTTCGTGGTCAGTCTGACATTTACTGTTTGTTTGTGTGTTTAGTTTAGTTTAGTTTTGTGTCTTTTTTGATTTGGTCACTTGATTCTGTTTGTGAGTTTATTTGGTTTAATTTGGGGAACTTGTGTTTAGTTTCGTGTTTGTCTCTTAATTTTACGACTCGTTATTGATTGAACCTGCGTGACCTTTTTGTGGCACAAAACCTGTTGTCTGTAGTTTTGTTTCTTTCTGTATATTTTAGTCTTTTGTTAATTTACCTTTTACATTCCTGTTAATTAAACATTATTTAATTTATTCCATTTTACGTCTTGGTTTTACTTTTTTCTTCTCTCACCTCGAACGAGCTGCGTGAATCTTGAGCTGTGAACTTTTAAACTCTGTGATTTGTTCGAACAGTTTGAGCTGAGAGAAACTGTTGAAAATTTAACTTTATTGATCCACAAGGGAAATAATCTGGACACATTCGCTCCCACGTCACAGCAGAATCAGGACTCATAAACATCACGTGACCTGTGGGTTTGTGGGTGAAATAAAGAACATTTAGTTTGTTGCTATGGAAACCGTGATGTGTTTGTTTCTCAAATAAAAACGGTTCAAACTGTTTCACACTTGGAGAGAAACAGTTTGACTCTCGTGACACAAACGCCCCGAGTGTCGGGGGTTTGTGTTCACACAGCGTCACAGCGCCACACCGCCCCCCAGCGGCCACAGCGGGACTCACAGGTTTAACACACAGATGGAGAGAACAGAGGAGGAACAGAGGAGGAGAGGAGAACAGAGGAGGAGAAGAACAAGAGAGAGGAGAGAGAGAGAGGAAGAGGAGAGAGAGAGAGGAGAAAGAGGAGAGAGGAAGAAGAGGAGAGGAGGAAGAGGAGGAAGAGGAGAGAGAAGGAGGGAGGAGAGGAGAGAGAGGAGGAGGAGAGGAGGAGAGAGGAGAAGAACAGAGGAGGGAGGAGGAGGAGAGGAGGAGGAGGAGAGAGGATGAAGAGGAAAGATAGAGGAGTTTCCCCACTCCTGTTCTCCTCTTTCTGCTCTCTCTCCTCTCTCCTCTTTTGTCTCCTTTCTCACCTCCTTTGTTTTCTTTGCTCATTTCCTTTTCTCTCACTTCCTAGCTCTCTTCCTCTCCTCTTTCCTCTTCTCTTCTTTCTCCTGTCCTCGTCTCCTCTCCTCCTCTTCTCTCTCTCCTCTCCTGTCTTTTCTCCTCTTCTCTCCTCCTTCGTCTTTCCTCCTCTCCTCTCCTTTTCACTCCTCTTCTCTCTTCTCCTCTTTTTTCTTCTCTCTCCTCCTTCCTCTCTCCTCCTCCTCTCTCTCCTTTCTCCCCTTTTTTGTCTCCTCTCTCCTCTCTCTCCTCTCGCCTCCTTTGTCTCCTCGCTCCTTGCTCATCTCCTCCTCTCTCCTCTTTTATCTCCTCTCTCCTTCTCTCTCTTCTTTGTTTCTCTCCTCCCTCGTTTCCTCTCTCCCCTCTCATTTCCTCCTCTATTCTCTCTCTCCTTTCTTCCCTTTTTTGTCTCCTCTCTCTCCTCTTTTGTCTCTCCTCGTTTCCTCTCTCCTCGCTCATCTCCTCTCCCCTCTCTTTTCTCTCCTCTTTTATCTCATCTCTCCTCTCTCCTTCTTTGTTTCTCTCCTCTCTCATTTCCTCTCTTTCTCTCTCCTCCTCTCTCTCCTTTCTCCACTTTTTTTGTCTCTCCTCGTTTCCTCTCTCCTCGCTCATCTCCTCTCTCCTCCTTTATCTCCTCTCTCCTTCTCTCTCTTCTTCGTCTCCTCCCTCGTTTCCTCTCTCATTTCCTCCTCTATTCTCTCTCGTCTCCTCTCTTTCCTTTCTCCCCTTTTTTGTCTCCTCTCCGTCCTTCTCTCTCCTCTCGTTTCCTCTCTCCTCGCTCATCTCCTCGCTCGTGCGCCCTAAGCCCCTCCTCCTCTCTCTCTCTCTCTCTCTCTCTCTCTCTCTCCGTCTCCTTCGCTTTTCTTCTCCGAGCGCAGCGACTCTCAAACTTTCCGAAGGTAAGCGCCGTTTTTTCGTTTGTTTGTTTGTTGACTTGTTTGTTTGTTTGTTGACGCACGGACGGCGGCGCCACGCGGGATCCGCACCACAAAACCCGCACCACGCGCGCCGTACGTGAACGAACGTCACGTAAAAGCGATTCGAGCTGCAAAAGTTGCTGGAAGTTGTTGAAGTTCGTGCTGAAGCGAAGATGCGGTGAAAACTGAGCTCCGGGTTTGGACTTCGTCTGTCACCGCATCGTAACGCGTTTAGAAATGCGGTACAACTGTGGAACACGCAAATTACAGCCTACGATAAACGAAATTATGGCGCTGACACAAAACACTAACGCAAAATTATCCCCAAAAATGTTGTAAATGTTGAGTCGATTATCGTAAAAAAAAAGAAAAAACAAAAAAGTTAACGCAGTAACATCTTAATTTTGCATCTGTAATGTCACAAAAGTTCTTAATTTAACCCGTTTACATCTTAAATTTAAGTGTTAAATGCAGAAAAGGTGAAAAAAAAAGTTGTACGAAAACGAACACGCGCGACAAATCTTGACGTTTCCAAAAAAGATCGTTCCGTTTTTCAGATTTGGATCGATCACTCCGACATTTTTGGTTGTTGAACGTGACTTTTAATGATTCTACGCACGTTTGGAAACTCGCAGTGACAGATTCGCGGTGCGGGGATCGTGAGGATCGGGGCGCGCGGGGGGTTTACGTGGCGCTGCGTCCGTCTCCCGTGGCACCGCGAAGAGACTCTGCTGTTTTGTGGACGCTGTGCCGTACGTGCGCGTGAGTGTGTGCGTGCGTGTGTGTGTGTGTGTGTGGACGCGACCCCCGTGCGCGTGCGTGTGTTACGTGTGCGTGCGTGCGTGTGCGTGTGGGTTCGGTGCGTTCGTCTTTACGCATGAGGTGTGTCCAGATTTGGAGAGGCTCGTGCGCTCGGCCGTATTTGGTCACGCGGAGCCGGAGCTGTCAACCCCGCGCGCTCCGAGCTGCAGCTTCATCATCTGGAGGATCCAAGACCAGGGCCAGACCTGGTTTAGTCCGGGTTTAGTCCGGGTTCAGGCTTGGATCAGACCTGGTTCAGACCTGTAGTTTTAATCCTGTTTTAGACCTGGTTCTCTCTGGATCTTGTTCAAGTCCAGTTTTTAAATCCTGCTCCAGACCTGGTTCAGTCCTTGTTTAATTCTGGTTCTGTTTCTGGTTCAGTCCTGGATAAATCCTGTTTTAGTCCTGGTTCAGTTCTGGTTTAGTCCTGGTTCAGTCTTGTTTTAGTCCTGGTTTTAGTCGTGGTGTAGTCCAGGTTTAGTTCAGGTTGAGTCCTGGTTTAGTCCGGGTTCAGTCTTGGTTCAGACCTGGTTCTCTCTCTTGTT